GTGTAGGGAGAAGTGGGAGGGGAGCTGTTGCATTGTGGTGAATTGTGGTCAATGTCATGAGACAAAGTGTGTATGAACTACTGTATAGAAAGTGAATTTGCTCGGTAAATTTTCACCCAAATCACAATTAAAAAAAAAAAAATAATAAGTAATTACGAGAGTAAGCTTCATGTTATGTATATTTTACCACAATTAAAAAATTTAAAATAAGGCAGTTAGTAACCAAAGAAGCAAAATAAATAAATCTGGGATATCATGTGATACAATTAAATTCCACCTCAACTGAAAATCTTTCCTCTTTCCAATGAGACTAACAAACACAATTTTATAAACTAACAACACAGGGTTGTCTTGATCTTTTTTTACCCAGGGATAATGAAGGTGAAAAGATTTTTTAACTAAAGTTATTTGAATCACTGAGCACAAATCAGATCTACTGAGGGACACAAAGCTCTAGGACAATTAGAAAGAATTTTCCCCTTACACTGTGGGCCTATGGAAAGGGAGCTTTAGTTCTGGTAGTATTGGAAGAAGTTTTGCTTTCTTCCTCATACTAGTGGTTAAACCACACTGTTTACCAAAAAAAAAAAAACTTACCTTTGCAAACAGGAATAAGAAAACACTGCCTAAAAATTCAATTTGAGTAGTGTATTAATAAAATAGTACTCTTTATTTAGGAATTCTTGGATGACACAAACAGGTAACACTCAACTACCAACCAAAAGGTTGGTGGTTCAAACCTACCCAGTGGCCCCTTGGAAAACAGATCTGAGCGATCACACTCTTGAAAACCCAGTTCTACTCTGCACACACAGGATCACCATGAGTCTGAATTGACTTGGTGACAACTAATAACACGTCTCTTTTTGTTATATCTGTTGTTTTGGGGTGGCTTTAAGTGGCGGCCTAGAAGCAGAGCTGGGCCTGGGGTTTGAAGCACCTTCAAGGGAAGCCAGAAAGTGAGCACAGCAGTTTGGAACAACTAAGAGAGACAACTTTGTCTATCAGTTTGGTGTCCTGTGGTGGCTTACTTGTTGCTATGAGGCTGGAGGCTATGACACCGGTGTTACAAATGCCAGCAGGGTCAGCCATGGTGGACAGGTTTCACTGTAGCTTCTAGACTAGGACAGATTCAGAAGAAGGAGGCAGCCATCCACTTCTCAAAGAATTGACCAATGAAAATCTTATGAATAGCAGTAAAACAATGTCTGATATATTACTGGACAACTTTATGACCAGCCCTGAAACACTGTCTGATACAGTGCCGGAATATGAGCTCCTAAAGTCGCAAGGCACTCAAAATTCAACTGGGGAAGAACTGCCTACTCAGAGTAGAAGTGATCTTAATGATATGCATAGAGTAAAGCTTTTGGGACTTTCATTTTCTGATGTGGCACAACTCAAAATAACAAGAAACAGCTTCAAACATCCATTAATAATCAGAACATGGAATGTATGAAGTATGAAACTAGGAAAATTGGAATTTGTCAAAAATTATATGAAATGCATAAAAATCAATATTCTAGGCATAAGTGAGCTGAAATGGACTGTTTTTGGCCATTCTAAATCAGATAATCATATGATCTACTATGCCGGGAATGACAAATTGAAGAGGAATGGTGTGGCATTCGTCATCACAGAGAATGTTTCAAGATCTATCCTGAAGTACAATGCTGTCAGTGATAGGATAATTCCCACATGCCTACAAGGAAGACCAGTTAATATGACTATTATTCAAATTTACACACCAACCACCAAAGCCACAAATGAGGAAACTGAAGATTTTTACCAATGTCTACAGTCTGAAATTGACCAAACATGCAGTCAAGATGTGTTGATTATCACTGGTTATTGGATGCAAAAGTTGCAAACAAAGAAGAATCACTGGTAGTTGGAAAATGTGTCCTTGGTGACAGAAATAACACTGGAGATAGCATGACAGAATTTTGCAAGACCAACAACTTATTCATTGCAAATACCTTTTCTCAACAACACAAACAGTGGCTATACATGTAGACTTCACCAAATGGAGTACATAGGAATCAGACTGACTATATCTGTGGCAAGAAGCAATGGAAAAGCTCCATATCTTCAGCCAAAACAAGGCCAGGAGTTGACTGTGGAACAGACCATTAACTACTCATATGCAAGTTCAAATTGAAGTTGAAGACAATTTTTAAGTCTATGAGAGCCAAAATATGACCTTGATTATATCCCTCCTGAATTTAGAGACTATCTAAAGAACAGATTTGATGCACTGAACACCAATGACCAAAAACCAGAGGAACTGCAGATAACATCAAGAACATCATCCATGAAGCAAGAGGTCATTAAAAAGACAGGAAAGGAAAAAAAGACCAAAACGGATGTCAGAGGAGACTCTGAAACTTGCCCTTGAATGGGGAATAGCTAAAGCAAATGGAAGAAATTACAAGACAAAAGAGCTCAACAGAAGATTTTAAAGAGGAGCTCGAGAAGACACAGTCAATTATTATAATGAAATGTGCAAAGACCTGGAGTTAGAAAGCCAAAGGGCAAGAACACACTCGGCATTTCTCAAGCTAAAAGAACTGAAGAGGAAATTTAAGCCTTGAGCTGCAATACTGAAAGATTCTATGGGCAAAATATTGAGTGATGCAGGAAACATCAAAAGAAGATGGAAGGAATACATGGAGTCACTGTACCAAAAAGAACTGGTTGATCTTCACCCATTTCAGGAGGTGGCATATGATCAAGAACCAATGGTACTGACATGAGACAAAGTATATGTGAACTGCTGTATGGAAAGTGAATTTGCTCTGTAAATCTTCACCCAAATCACAATAAAATAAAATAAAATAAAGAATCAATGGTACTAAAGGAAGAAGTCGAAGTTGCACTGAAGGAATCGGCGAAAAACAAGGCCCCAGGAATTGACAGGATACCCACCAACATGTTTCAACAAACAGATGTCAGGCTGGAGGCACTCACTCGGCTATGCCAAGACATTTGGGAAACAGCTACCTGGCCAAATGATTGGAGGAGATCCACATTTATACCCATTCCAAAGAAAGGTGATCCCAGAGAATGTGGAAATTATCAGACAGTATCATTAATATTACATGCAAGTAAAATCTTACTGAAGATAATTCAAAAATGGTTGCAGCAGTATATTGACAAAGAACTTCCAGGAATGCAAGCTGCATTCAGAAGAGAACGTGGAATGAGAGATATCATTGCCGATGTCAGATCGATCTTGGCTCAAAGCAAAGAATACCAGAAAGACGTTTACTTGTGTTTTACTGACTATGCAAAAAGCATTTGATTGTGTGGATCATAACAAATTATAGATAATACTGACAAGAATGGGAATTCCAGAACACTTAATTGTACTCATGAGGAACCTGTACATAGACTAGGAGGCTGTCATTCAAACAGAATAAAGGGACACTGGATGGTTTAAAATCAAGAAAGGAGTGTGTCAGGGCTGTATCCTTTCACCATACTTATTCAATCTATATGCTAAGCAAATAACCCAAGAAGCTGAACTATATAAAGAACATGGCATCAGGATTAGAGGAAGGCTCATTAACCACCTGCGACATGCAGACGACACAACTCTGATTGCTGAAAGTGAGGATGACTTGAAGCATTTACCAATGAAGACTGGAGACTATAGTCTGCAGTATGGATTACACCTCAATATAAAGAAAACAAAAATCCTCACGACTGAACCAATAAGAAGCATCACAATAAACAGAAAAGACTGAAGCTGTAAAGGACTTCATATTACTTGGTCCTACAATCAACACCAATGGCAGCAGCAGTCAAGACATCCAACGACATATCACATTGGGCAAATCTGCTGCAAAAGACCTCTTTGAAGTGCTGAAGAGTAAAGATATCTCCTTGAAGACTAAGGTGCACCTAACCCAATCCATGATATTTTCAATCGCCTCATACGCATGTGAGAGATGGACAATGAATAAGGAAGACCGAAGAAGAGTTTATACTTTTGAGTTGTGATGTTGGCAAAGAATGCTGAGAGTAGCATAGACTGCTAAAAGAACTAACAAATCTGTCCTGGAAGATGTGCACCCACAATGCTCCTTGGAAGCAAGAGTGGCCAAACTTCGTCTCACTTACTTTGGTCATGTTGTCAGAAGGGACCATTCCCTGGAGAAGGATATCATGCTTGGTAAAGTGGAGGGTCAGCTAAAAAGGGGAAGGCCCTCAATGAGATGAACTGACACACTGGCTTCAACAATGGGGTCAGATATAGCAAGGATTGTGAGGATGGCACAGGACCAGTGTTTCGTTCTGGTGTACGTAATGTCACTATGAGTCGAAGATGACTCAATGACACCTAATAACAACAACAACAAATCTGTTGTATAAAATTCTCCAGATGTTTCTTCAACTTCTTTCAACTTCATACTTCAATTTCCTACATCATACTTGCGTATACTTGGGCAAATTCTTTATCCTTTCTCTAAGCCTGTTTCAGCTCTGTGAATGGGTAAAAACCTTCCCCAAAAAGGCTATCACAGGATCAGGAGACACTGTGTATAAAAACCTGTGTTAAGACCATGTAACATGGATGAACTTGGAGGACATTATGTTGAGTGAAGTAAGTCAATCACAGAAGGACAAATACAGTATTAGTTCATTACTATAAAGTCAAGGAAAGGTTTACATATGGAAGGAAACTTTCTTTGCTGGTTACCAGGGGTGGGAGGAGAGGGGAGGAAACATTGCAAAAAAAAAAAAAGAATTGAGTCATGTCCCTTTGGTTTTGTGTATTTCACTGTACATAAGTTATGTTTCAATAAAATGTATTTAAAAAAAAAAAACCGTGTGTAAGATAGGAAACTACGTACATACTACGTAACACAATAAGCAAAATCTTTGTTAATTTAGGATTAATACAGGGTACCTTTCTGAACAGGATCTAAAACACATGTGACAGAGTATAACTTTTCATTTTATCATTAAATCCCCCAAAGAAATGTGAAACTTACCTACTAACAGCATGTGCAACATTCATCATTGCTGATGTCATTACTTCTGTGGTGAGGCTTTCAGCAAAGCTAACACCATCCTGTCCAATTCCACTATCAGCTGCCAAACTGGTATTGCTCAGCTCTCTTTCCGCTTTTTCAAGAGCTTCAGCAACAATCTTCCCAGCAAGCACTGTCTTCTTATCAAGATCAACTTGAATTTGGGGGACATCAAGATGAAAAATTCTAGATTGCTGGCAGGTGTTGCTAAATTTTGATTTAGAAACCGGCTTACTACTGGCAACTGCAACATGGCTGGACATGTGCTGAGGTGAATTTCTAGTGCAATCATGGAGCTCTTTAAGGTTACAGTATTTGCAAGCTTGACTGGTAAGAGGTGACAACTTTTCTGCATAAGTAATCCTATCTGCTGATTTTGTGGTCTCAGACACTTGAACAACAGCAGACTCTAAACTTAACTCCAAAGTGTCATCCACTACTTTTTTAGCATACCGTTCTATAGCTGGAACATTCTCTCCACAACCATATTCATTTAAGCTGCCAATACTGTGGTAAAACATGTGATTTTGAGAGGATAGCTGAAGAGGCTTAGGAAATTGTGGTTCAACCTGAGACCCGGGTTCTTCATTACATCCAGGTTTTTCATAAAGGCAAGAATCTGTTAAGGATTTTGGCAAGCCAACTGTAGATGTTGTTAGCTCTTTTTTAACATCTCTTGTTATGCTGTGAGCAAGAGAGGCCGAAAAACTAAACAGTTCAGAGCACTCGTTTCTGTATGTATCCTGTGTCCTTTCACAACTTTGATTTTTACAAAAAAGGCCACCCTGTCTTTTACTTTGCCTTTTTTTATCCACTTCTTGGTTACAGTCTTTATTTAAGAATGTGAACAGCTCGTTCTTGGTTTTCTCCAGTAAGCATTGCACAGGGACTATTTTTGAGCTGCATTTCATTTTGGCTGTCCGAGAAGCTTCTTGTAATCCTGATTTTACAGATCTATAAGCAAGTCTATTGGCATACTGATCCATTAACAACTCACTATTACCACGTTCCTGTTTTAGGATTTGGATAATGTGACCCGCATATTCATCTGTCACACTCTCACAGCTGGGATACCTGTATGTCAGACCTGCCATACAAGCACTGGGTAAGGAGAGAACAAATGGATCCACTTCTCTCGCATGTGCCACAGCCTCTACAGCCACCTTCCCTTCTGCTATACCATGTTGGTCACCTCTTTTAAAATAGAAGCCTTCAGCATAACAACTGTCCTTCCTTTGCTTGGAAAGCACACAACTTTTCAGTTTTGCTATTTTCTCAGCCTCTGTAATCACCTCTGCTGCCAGATCATCTGCAAAGTTCCATAATGCTTGTAAATTTTCATCTGAGTGACTGAAAAAAGGAGGAGATAAGCTTGTTTGATTTAGTACATTTAAGGAAGGGCTTTTAACCTTGGGTTCTTGAATTACTTTATTATCTAAATGAGAAGCTGCCATTTCAGTTGCAAGAGAAATTATGTGTGTAGCCAATGCCTCTGCAAACTGAACTTTCTCCCCTGAGTGCTCTGACTTCCTGTCCGCTCCTGGGTGCTGCTCTTCACCTTCACTACTTTCAACTTCTTCTGAAAGAGATCTCATGAGCTTCAACATAAACTCTTCTTTTTCTATAGTGTTTTGTTCATTTTCAGACAAACTACCAACAGATGGGTTGTGTGGTGTAGAAGGTGGTGTGGCAGGTGCAAACTCCTTGGCTAATTCCCCCTTGAGCTTTTTGGTTAACTTCTTGATATCCCATTCGGAACTAGCTTGGGATGATGGTACCAGAGGAGTTGATGGAGGAGTTTCGGGTATGACCTTTGCATCTCTGATTTTCTGTTTATCTTCCACATGCAAGCCATCTGCACAGGTAAGCCCTGGAGATGTGAAAGTGTGTGAATGAGGAAACAGGTTTTCTTGCCCAAAAGACAAGGGCTCAAGTGCAGTATTATTTAAACTATGCTTCTTCACTGATTTCTCTTTGGCAAGTTCCTTCAAGTCAGACTTTTGAGTTGCCACAGCTGGACACGGTGCTGGTGTTTCTAAAGAAAATCCATGAGCCATGAGGCCTTTACATTCTGTAGCACCATCCTTTCCTACTAAAACTGCGTAAGGATCTTGAGTGTCAAGAAATCTGGGAAACTGTTCTAAGGTCAATTGTGACTCTTCTCCAGGAACAGGCAAGCCTTCCTTGTGCACCACATTTTTATCTATATTTACAATCACTGATTTGCTATTATCTATGGAATATTTAATAATAGATTTAGATAATCGGTCAGCAAACATATCCTTTGAGCTAGCATCACTGTGTTGCAGTGGTGCTCCATCATAGTAGAAAGGTAGGCTCTTTCCCTCCACTGTTTTAGTTAGATAATCTGTGTGTTCATCAACTGTTTTTGTACCTCCAAATGATGTCACTGACTCTAAAGTTTCATTGACTATTGTATGCACCATTGCTGCAGAAAAGTTGTTAATAATTGCAGGATCACTTGTTAGATTTGAAGAATTCTGCATTTCAGTATCATCCTGAGTTGGTTTAAAATCATTCTGGTTACTTAGATTGTGTTCTGAATCTGAAGGTCGACAAATATTTCTGAGACAAGCTACTTCCCCTTCTTTGTTTTTTGTGGTAGCACAAGCTTGGGTAGAATCACGATTTGAAATACTACCATCAGATGACAGATGAGACTTTGCCTGACACAGATTAGATGAAATATGATATGGGAGAAGGGCACTTCCTGCCAAGGGCATTGGTATAGAAGTAACAATTCCAGAAGCACAAAACAAGGCCTGCTGTACTGTGTATTCTTTTTTATACTCCTGCATTGGTTTTGTCACCATAATTGCTTGATTGCTAAAAGCAGAGGAAAAGGTGAAGGTCTGTGTCGATGGCACAACAGTTTCTGCATTCACATACTTTATGTTCTCTGTAGAAACACTAACTGCTGCTTTAGTTGTGAAGGTCACATCAACTTGTGATAGCTCAATGAATGCTTCCTGTATTACAGATTCAGACAAATCTTTTGCATATGACTTCACTACTTTGTCTTCATAGTCAAACGACCAACACTGTGGAAATGCAGGTGTGGGAGGATATGAAAACTGGCACACTTCCATGACGCCTTCAAAAACCAGCTCTTCAGCAAGATCTGCAGCAAACCTAGCAACTGTGTTTGTAAAGATCTGCTTCTTTACATACTGCAAATCTTTTAAAGCATTTGATAAAGCTTCACTCACCAAAAAATTAGCCAGGCCACTAATGGCTCGTTCTCTCAGGGAAAATGCACGCTGCCGTCTCAGTTCGTTAAATGCCATCTGAAAAATGGATGATGTCAATTTGATGGCTAAGTGGCACAAGGCATTGGTGCACGACGAGACTCCTTTCTGTAAGTCTTTAAATGCACTGCCAAAACTTTTTTCCACAAGATCTGCTGCAAATTTCTGAATGCTATCTTTAATCATTAGGGATTTATTTTTAGATTTATTGTTTTGATCAAGGTTCCCATGTTGAAGAGGTATGCTTTTATTTTCTCCATTTTTAATACTATCAATGTTTGATAGTGCATTAGTATGCTGGGCATGAAGAACTGAATTGAGTACTTTGCATGAAACACAATTTGCATAATCTTCATACATATAAAAAATAGAATCGTGATTTTCATGAACCTTATCTCCACCAGTAAGTGTTTGGCAGAAACAGTCAGCAGGAGTACAGCCTCCAAGAGGACTAAAAGCAGAGGATCGAATGGGGCTAAACAAGCCACTGTCTTCCCCAGACGCCTGCACTGGGCGAGAATCTGGAGCCTCACATAGGTTACTGTAGGGGGATTCTGGTTTCCGTGGAGTTGGTTTTCTAACATTAGCTGGGAGAGCTGGACGATCAAACTTGAACTTTTGAGGATTCATGGTAGTGGTCACAGAACAAGATTTTTCATGTTTGTGCTCTTTCTTTTGCAACGGCTTCCCAATGGCAGGATCTTTTATTAACAGACAAGACGGTTCTGAAGTTTGTTCTAGTTCATCAAACTGATCGAAACTATCAAAAAACTCACTTACTTCTGAGTCTGAATCCTCTATATCATGTTTCATCACAGGAATTTTAGGCAGCTCAAGTTTTGCTTTTAAACTTTTTTGATATCCCTCTTCATCCAAGAAAATAACAGGACTTGGACTTGAGCATTCTGATTCTGAGGAATACACAGGAGAGGATGAAAAAAACATTTTCTGTATTTCACCACCTTGATCTGAAGCATTAGTTGACCTGTAGAAACTCCTTTGGATCCAAGGCTCTGAAACTGATGTTGTGACTGAAGTTTTCACAGAAGGTGGTGGTTTGTGTTCCAGAATATTGATAAGGGAAGCTGAGGGCTGAGCCGATGGTTTCGGCTGCCCAGAGCTAATCAGAACCCTTAAATCATGGGTTTCTACATGATGACCAGAAACAGTCTGCGAAGCAACATCACACTGGCTCCTTAGTGCAGAAATGTTTACTCCTATAGGAAAAAGACAGAATAACTGAATTATAGCTCAAGAGAAATTTTAAAAAATTAAATTAGTAAGTTGACTTTAAAAGCACAAGCTATTTATAGCATTAGAATCTTCTGAACTACACTATTTAATATTCACTCCAAATCACATTTAAAAGCAAATACACCTTTCACCAAAATGATTTAATTTTCCCTATGTCTGGAGATGTCTGGTCTATCGGCATGCTTAGCATGCCGTCTGGTGTGTTAGGATACTAATATGAAGCCTTTTCTGGCTAGTTCTTCTGTAATGTGGACCTAGCCATGTTGCAGACACGTAAGACAATGGGGTAAACAGTGCTCAGACAGTACTACCTAAGAAAGAACAGAAATAGTCAAACTAAAAACCAGACAACTGTAAACTTATCAAGATTATAAAAAAAATAAATTAATCCCAAGGGCAATTAGAGAAAGAAAATAAAATGTTAAACTGGATCAAATTTCAAAATGAATTTCAACTGAACAAGCCTGCCTTAAAACTTTCAGAAGTGAACGTTAACCTTTTATTCTCTATTTCAAGAAAAGATCTTGCAGGAAACAAACCATCAGTATATGTCTTTGAAGCCTCTTCTTCCTCTAAGTGCTCAAAAGCAGTGACAAAGTCATCCTCTATGGAAGACACTGACTGGTTAGTGTCGTCATCGTCTTCATTAGTGGTCTCAAGTTGGCCCTTCTGATGCAAGTATGTTTCCAGGGTGTATCGGATACCAGTGGCATATTTACTTAGCAGACTAAATATAAAGTCAATTCTGAGTCTTGGTAATGTAGGTGACAGTCTCATGACGCAAAGCATTCCAGAATGATGACTCTTGGGGAAAATGGCAGATGGTAGAACAGAATTTCAATTTCAAACATAAAACATCATCAAGAAGTAAAGCCAAGAAATAAGACAAGAGATGCATGCATCACAAAAAGCTCCCTGGCTTCATAATGTTTAATTCTTTTCTTTATCTTTTTACTGTTTCTCTCACTTCCCCACCTCCTTTACTCTCATCTTCCTCTGACCTACATATTTAAATTTCACCCATCCTATCTCCTTAAAATGTTACAGAACTTATATTCTATCTTACTTCTTTGGCAATTATGTTTTCCTGTACTATTGTGCAGCCTTGTCATTTTTCTTAATTAATTAATGTTTTATTTTTCTTATTTAAACCTATCTCACTAACTCAATTGTAAACTGCTTGAGGGCAATAAAACATGTTTTATTTTTGTATCCTATGCTCCTTTATCATAATAAAGGAATTATTCCTCCTTTCACCTAGATTTCGATAGTAATCTAATAATGTTTACAGCTTTAAGAATACAAATCACCAGATTTTTTTCCTACACATATTATCTTAAAAATTCAAATGTTGACAAATTACTCAATTAAAAAAAACTAGAAACCATAGGTAATATCTAATCATGTCTTAATCCTAACAAATAAAGCATAATAAATATGAATGAATATAATTTTTTAAAAAAATAAAAATTAATGAGGCAAGCAGCTCCACTTCTATCTATAGACCGTATGAAGAATACAGCTATCTTTTAAACCCAGAATGTTGTTGTTGTTGTTGTGTGCTGTCCAGTCGGCCCCGACTCATAGCGACCCCTCCTTGGGTTTCCGAGGCAGTATCACTACAGAAGTAGGATTGCCCAACCTTCCTTCCGAGGAGTGGCTGGTGGGTTTGAACTGCCAGCCTTCTAGCTAGCAGTCAAGTGCCTTAGGTACTATGTTACCAGAGCTCCTAAACCTGGAATAAATTATGCAAATTTTGGACTTGTGGGCTAAACTGTAAATATTTTATCTCCTAAAATGCAAAGAATTTTCCTTTAATGCATTATCAGCAAGAACATACCTAGTTAATAAGTAAGAGCTGAATGTTACAAAATAACCAACTGTCTGAAATAATGGAACATCAGATGTTTACATTACATGGGATTTTTCTTAATCAGAAAATTGGTTGAAGTACATTCTCTAAAACACAGTATTTTTTTATAAATGTAGAAATGGCCATAAAGGGAAAAGTCTCTATAGCTTATACAAAGAAAGAAGTTTAAGAAATTCAGAAGTATAATGGAAAACCAATTTGCTCCATAAACTTTCATCCAGATCACACACACAAAAAAAAATTTAGAAATCATGAATGTTCTGGAAAAAAATTTATACCTATCTGCATATCACTTATGGAACTTCATACACAGAAAATCTAATTTATAAACTATAACCAAAATTATTCTAACCTTCAATAATTTCAATGCTTTGTGAATTAGGTTTCTTATGACTATTTCCTTGATAAAGCAGTCAGAAAAAGAAAGAAAAAAAACTTTGTTCAAGTATTTAAAAGTTTAATACACTGGACCAAATGTCATTATAAAATTTGCACTGAAAAATTTATTAGAAATGATCTTTAAAAGCTACCTGATTTAGAGGACCACTGTTTACTTCTGACGATTTTTTTATATCCTTCATACAAATAATTTCATTTTCATTTAGACTGCAGAAGTGGAGTGAATTCAGTAGATCTGGAAGGTCCAAAGAAACTGCAGCTAAATCCTAATTTAAATTAATGACACAACAAATAATACTTTTAAGGTTCTTATAACATGGACCCTATACAGGTATCATAAGTCAACTGGTTAAATACATTTTCTAAGTCATTTTAGTTAGCATATGCAACTTACCATCCTCAGATAATCCATTTTTAAAGAACATAAAACAGAGTAAAATTAGTATTTTAATACTGGCTATTCTTGTAGCCCTTTCAACATATAGATATCAAGCTACTGCAAAATTCAATATGGTACCTTACACATCCATAACAATTAGGCATTTAATGTTTAACAAATGTCAACCTGCAGTTCTCAGGTTAAATTCTAGAATTTCTCATAGAGGATTCTTGGCAATGTACTCCTTCAGAGCTTAAGTGTTAAGTTCCTAAAATACAAGTCCATTTTTCTGCCTTTCCCCTCCAAGGTACTGCATTAGACTTTAAATACAAATTTGAGGAAAATATAGAAGAAAAGGAAATAGGATTTTTTTCTACTATTTTTTCGCTCATTTGCCCTTTCTGTTTAAATATTTTATACAAAGAATTTTTTAAATCCTTGACCTTTCCTAAATTACTTTTTTTTTTACATATTAACATTGTTGTTGTTGTTGTTATGTGCCGTCGAGTCGGCCCCGACTCATAGCAACCCCTCCTTGGGTTTCCGAGGCAGTATCACTACGGAAGTAGGATTGCCCAACCTTCCTTCCGAGGAGTGGCTGGTGGGTTTGAACCGCCAGCCGTCTGGTTAGTAGGCAAGTGTCTTAGCCACTATGCTACCAGAGCTCCCTACATATTAACATAGTATATCAGTAGTACTTAAAGAAGTAAAGTCTTAACGCAATACTTTGGAATACTTCTCTTTCTAGCCTTATGCTGCCAGGATTATGTTCCTTTTGTCCAAATTATTTCCTGAAAGCAAGAGCAAAATAATCAAGACACACAGCAATTTTATTAATAATCACTAGATACGTTATTCAGAAAGAACTGAATAATGTTATTTCTTTCTCTATTAGAAGACGCCTTACGGCCACAAAAGGAAACAAAGTCAGTGACAAATTCTGCAAGCAGCAGCAGAGGCAAAAAAGGCCGCCTACCACATGCACACAAGCTTCAACAACTTTTTATGCAACTGCTCAACTCTCTTTTGCTATCTTAATCTCAAATGTCAGTTTCTTTGTAAATACCTGTCTCAAACAGGCTAGCATTTCTGTATTGGCTAATTACATTTTACAAATTTTATCTTTTAAATTCAATTCTATCTCAATTGAAAATACAAGATGTTGTCCTGCTGAAGCCAGATTATGGAAACAATCTAAATACAACAGCAAGTTGTACATTCTATGTTATACATAAAATGGAAAGAAAATCAGCCTATGGTTTGTACCCTTCTCAGATATATGACTTTTGTGGTCTTGTAACATAAAGTTTCTTTCCATAACAAGGATCCTCAAATGAAAATGCCAAAAAAAAAAAAGTGAGAATGTCCAAAACACACTCAAAAGTTGACCTCAAATGTTAATTTTGAACTTTAAACAGGAAAAATACCAGAAAAGTTTAGTGTAAATTTCAGGCTACTAAGGCAAATTTTTCAATCTCAAAATCTGTTCCAAATATTCTCTCATAGTTCTTTCCAATTCAAAAAATGCATACCTGTATATGAGCAGCATCTGTTTCTTCATTAAAACCTAGAAATGTGACCTGAAAAAACAGGAATAAAACTCCATTAATTTGAGTGTTTTAAGTTTTGTCTCAGATTTTTGACAGGGCTGAAAAAAGGAAAAAAAGCACATGAAGTATAAAAATGGTGGAATGCCTTGGCCTGGATGATTATTTTTTCAAAGATGATCAAAAAGGTCTTTCATCAAAGACTTGGCTTCATAATACAATTCATGAAACACCTCCACATCCGCCTCATTAGCAAGTTCAATCAATTCTACTTCCAACACATATTTTAATAACACCCACATCTCTGCCTTCTCAGTGCCACTTCTCACCTGCACTACTCCAGTCCTCTCCCACTTGATCTCCATTAACTGTCATGTCACTTCCCCGTCAAAATCTTCCATGGCTTCCCAGTGCAAAGTCCTGACTGAGGCCCCAAAGCTTTGGGTTAGCTGGAGCCTTCAGACCTTCCATCACTTTAATCTGACATCTGGGTCTCCTTTTTGAGTCTGGAACAGGTCTGGTACTTTCTTGCCTCAGGCCTTCTCTCAGCACGGTCCCCTCTGTCTCAATCTTTCTTCCTTAGATGCTTACATGCTTAGCTCCTCCTCATTCTTCAAATTCCAGCTCAAATGTCACATCTTCAGGAGATTTTAATTAAAATTAATTTCCAGGTGTCTAGGTAAATTACTTAACCTCTCCTCATGTATAAAAATTAAGGCATACAACTTCCCTCTCACAGTTGTGAGGGTTAATTAGATAAGATGGAGGAAAGTGCCTAGCACATAATAGATACTCAGTATTGTTAATTTCCTTCCTTTTTACCAAAATATACTTTGAGATATGTGTACCCTAAAGTGGACAGAAATTACTTCTATTTTTTCAAGTTTCCTTTAACTGAATACAAAAGAGAAGATAAGCTGACATGGGTTCTGAAAATGCCATTAGAATTTTATACTTCCCGTTTATCAAGGAAGGCCTAGCCAAGGAATGGGGGCTCTGAAAGATACTATGTAAGAAGCCTGAGAGATATAGGTTGGAAAACTGTGTGAAAGCAGAAGGACACTCGTCATACATGTGAACAACTGAGTAGATTAAGAGTGGTTCTGCTATACTACAATAAAGCGAAAAGAGATAGTAAAGACAACAGCAAAGAGTCAGAGAAATGAACAACTGCATTTTTTAAATAATAGGAGAAAAGGCTCAGGTCAAAGAACACTAAAGGGTGTGCTCATCTTCCCAGGCAACTACATCAGAGACTGTTTCTCAAGGAACATGAAAGAAAATCATTCACAAAACTAAGAATAATTGAAATTTCTTTATTAGAACCCTGTTTCAAAAAAAATGATTTAAACATATTCATCAGTTTAAACTGAGTAACCTTACACTTTCTCTCTTATTTTATAACATAAATTTGATAATAGACTTTTTCCCTTTTTCATAAATATTTTAGTTCTCTAGTGCTGCTACAATGTGGATGACGTCAACAAACAGAAATTTACTCTCTTATAGTCCAAGAGGCCAAAAGTATGAATTCAGACTGGCAATTCTAAGAGAAGACTAGGCTAGAAGTCTGAGTTCAGAGTGCCAGCTCTAGGGGGTGAGTAGAGGCCGTTCAAGTTTGGGCTTCACCTCTGCCTTCCAGACCCACCGAAACAAGCTAGAGGCTTCTTCTGACTCATGCAGCTGCTGACGCATCCAAGATCAGCAGGTAAAATGACAATCTCAAGACTGGCAGGCAACACAGCAAGCCACTGGTTCAAGTCCAGGAACTGGAGACAAAGTCTAAACCAAATGTAGAATCCTTTCTATAGATACTGGAAGCAAGCCACACCCCGAAGGCAACTCTACTTCAACCGATTAACTGCTCACAGCAGATTCCACCATGCAGATAATTACGCCATGTTCAATCTCATCATGGGGAATAACTACATCAAGCTGCCAAGTCACTCGAAATCACAGCCCAGTCAAGTTGACATACAACCCTATCCACCACAAAAAATACAAGGAAATACTTGATGTAGGAGAGAAGTAAGTGAGTAAGTTGTGTACATCTTACCCAAAACTCACTAACAGTCTCAAGTAGCAAGGACATCTTAATTTCAAAGATGAATTTATCACTATTTCACTTTAAAGGAAAGCACTGAATTTAAAATCAAGAAAATTAACAATAACCAAAAAAAAATGAATATAAGAAATAAGCAAATATTTCATTTCAGAGCAGAAAAATGAATTATTAAAGTACCAACTATGAAATACAGTTAAGACTCATTTATTACAGTGCTATGTCCAATGAATGGTTAATAATGCCTATACATTAATGAATAAAGACAATTATGTTATCTGGTATTCTTAACAGGTACTTCTAATACATGTATAAGTATGTAGAGATTTTAAGCTACTCAAAAATAAATCATTCATACACTCCCTCGAACAATCAAGTATGGGAGAAGAGAAGGGCAGTGTTTACATAGGGAGACAGCTCAGGGGGCAGGAATACATAAGCAAGAAGGACACAGGGTTTGCTTGGGAAAGGGAGCTCACTTATAGTAGGTTACTTGGATGGGGAGGGAAGAGGAGGGATTAATTTCAGGCTAGTTGGGGCCCACACACTGATGAGGGTAGGGGGAGGGATACACGGGAAGGATCTGTGACCACCATGATAACATTAGGAAATGGGAGGATGCTGAATTGTGCACACAAGAGATAGACGACAGACGCTAATACCAACCAATGTGTCCACAATACTGCATTGTCATAAACACACAAACACCTGAGAGGATCAGATGGAGGTCAGTGAACAGGAGTATACTCTAGACCAAGGATAGATTCAGCTGAGGCTAATCTTGCCTCACCAGTGATACAAAATACCTGCAATCCTTACAGAAACAACAGAAGACAAACACATAGTAATCCCTCACAGACAACCAGACTCTACTGGAGAGAGATCCAATAGATCTACTAACTCAGGACCATAGTACTGGGGGACACCAGACTCAACTGGCACAACAAAATACATAAAAGCCTTGCTCTACATCCTACATTGGTGAGTAGCAATTGGGGTCTTTTAAAAGCTTTCAAGCTGCTATCTAAGATGGAGCAACAATCTCCTAGCATCGGAAGCGAAGAAGAAAGCAAACAAAAAAGGGCATTTGGAAGCAATCGGCCCTAGGACATAATGGCCCTCGAGACCAGAAGAACTAGATGGTGCCTGGCTACTAATGCCAACCACTCAGGAAAGGATCAAACCTGGAGATCCTGGATAGAGTGGGAGGGAAAATGTGGAACAAAATCCAAAAACTCAATAATGACCAGAATTACTGGTCAGATGAAATCTGGTGAGACCCCCAATACTATGGCCCTGGAATACATTCTGCACCTGGAATAAAATGCACCCCCAGGGGCTGGCTCTCAGCCCAATAGTTAACAAGATGTACATGCAGACCACTCAACCCAGGATGACGCACCCATATACTCTATGGTAATACATCCCTTACAGCCATAGACCATGGGACACCAGAGGACCAACATTCAAATTGAGGAAATGCAGGACAAACAGGAGTGCATAATTATGAGGGGCACAGGGGAGGGTTGCAGGGTAGGGAGGGCAGGAGACTGGGTTAGGGTTGGACATGGTAAACGGGGAATGAAACTAAATGTACATGTAACACTGAATGTAAAACAAGTTCTTAAAATTAAAAAAAAGAAAAAAAAAGGACACAGGGAAGAGGTGGCTATGGGGAGGAAGTGGGAAGACAGCTGTCACACTGTGGGGAATTGTGGTCAATGTCACGAAGCAAAATGTGTATGAAATGCTGTATGGAAAAATGAATCAAATCACAATACACATTAAAAAATAAAATAAATAAAATGTTCAGTCCTTCAAAGATGTATGAAAATACATTGTGCATTATTAAGAAAGGGTTTAGAAAGTAGTAACACCAAACCTCAGTCAAACTGGCATGTTCATCCTGCTTCAAGCTGTCCTCTGCTGATATACTGCATAATTCCTTCTCACTCTGTAATAAAGACTTTACAGACTGGAACACACCTTCACTGAAGCTCTGAAAGAAAAGACATCCTTCATTTATTTAATTCTAAAACAAGATAAAAGGTCCTGGAGAATAATATTCTAGTTTTAGATAGTGTCATAAATTTGCCAATGAATATTCATCTGGTGCCTTTTGATAATGTAAGCAGAACTTAATTCTGCTAAGAAAAAACAACAAAAAGCTCTTATATACAGTTGTCGCCTGTCCAAAACACATAAACCAAATCTAGGCACTCAGATCACTGGAAGACTGTCATGCCAGAATCACTTATGTGACCTACACTGAAATCTGACAGGTGGGTGTCTAATTCGCAAGCCACTGGGGGAAGCCAAGCAGCAACTTACTTAAGGGGTGAGATGATCTGGAAGCTACAGTGACACATGCTAATGAGAGTAATTATGCCCATAACAAAGCTGGACATGGAAAAATGAGAGGAAAGAAGCAAAACTAAGGTTTTTCAAGGGTCTTAAGGAAGTTGTCTGAGGAAAGATATTTCAGAGAGGAGGAGGGAGACACAAGTGCCAAACAACAGAAGGGAGGAAAAGTTACATAAAGAAAGTGACAAGTATTATCCATAGCCAAAACCCATTGCCAATGAGTTGATTTCAACTCATTATTTAGGAAAAAAAAAACCTTACTGTCATCTGTTTGTTTCTGACTCGTAGCAACGGCTACTGGGTTTCTGAGGCTGTATATCTTTACAGAAGTAGACCACTGCATCTTACTTTTGCAGAGCGGCTGGTGGGTTTGAACCACTGACTTGCCAGTTAGCAGTCAAATCCCTTATCCAAATAGAACATTACTTTCTTCCATCTTACTCTGTTCCCACTGATTTGTTGATCTGCTTTTCTAGCTGTACCTATGGAAATCATACTCATCCTAAGACCTGTGAAGATTTTTCCAATACCTTAGTCATAACAAATTTCTCTCAAAGCTCCTACTGTATTTACTGTTTGCATTACAATCATTTAACCTATACTGCAACATATTGTAATTACTGTGCTGATTAGACTTGTCTTTCCCACACATTAGACAAACCACTGAGGTCAGAGACTGTATCTCACTCATTTTATCTCCTCATATATCAGGACCTTATGTATTACAGGAACACAATAAATGTTTGCTAATTTCAATAAATTAAAAATGAATGAAAATCTTCCATCTGCAAGAAAGAGATACCAACATGAAATCAAATAAAGGCGGAAAAAAAAGATGTAATGTTAAATTTGAATTTGAACTATCAATATGAACTCAGATCATATGTCCCACTTTTTTCATGGAAAGGTCATGGAAGCAAAAGACCTTAGTAGTAACGAATGTACCCTGCACCAGAATTTGATTTCTCAATACCATTCCCCAACAAAAAGCACTAGAGTTCCTTAAAAAAAAAAAAAATGCTTGGTTCCAGGACTGAGGCAGAGAAAGTATGAGGTGAGCCTAGAGTATCTTACTGTGCAAAACTGCAAAGAAGTGCTCAAAGAATAATTGGGTCCTTTCAAAAGAGCAAAGTAATCTACTTAAAGGGGTTCCTACTGACCAAATTTGGACCAATCTGGGCATAAGAAGAATAAAAATGGTCATGGATTATACCTACTAATTTTTTTTAATCTTGTTGTTGTTGTTGTTATGTGCCGTTGAGTCGACCCCGACTCATAGCGACCCCTCCTTTGGGTTTCCGAGGCAGTATCACTATGGAAGTAGGACTGCCCAACCTTCCTTCCGAGGAGTGGCTGGTGGGTTTGAACCGCCAGCCTTCTGGTTAGCAGTCAAGTGCTTTAGCCACTATGCTACCAGAGCTCCCTTTTTAATCCATGAATCCATTAAAAAAGAGTGAAGGAGACAAACTCTTCTTTACATAAGAATACTAGATGACAAATAAAGATGGAAAGACAATTAGAAAATCCCCTCTATAGCCCCAAAGTAACAATTTGCAGTGTAGTAAATTACTTTGTGTGGCTTTTCTACCCATAAGTCTTTGTAAACTCCAAGGTGGGATTTGCTATGAGCAACTGAGGAGCTCCTGATTGCTGAAGGTGTCCACTTGGAGTATTTCTGTTGGGAGTGGCACAAAACAATGTTCTGGGAGGTGCCCACTCTCTCTCAGGTGCTTAGAGTTCTGATGCTGTAATTGGCTAGTTTGACCACCCTGCGGGCTCTAAAGGAGACCTCCTGGAGGCAGAACTCTTTCCGACTGCTGGTGGAAGAAGACGTGCTGCCGAAAGAGACATGCACCCCTGAAAGAGACATGTGCTGCTGGGAAAGAGACGCAAGAGACACACATCGCTGAGTGAGACACCAAGGGACCAGCACTGCTGGGAAAAAGACTGGGAGAGACTGTTGGCCGAGGGACGGTGGGCTGGGAGAGAGACTGAGCGTTCTTCCTGAACTTGAGTTGTAGCCTGGTGCTTCCCTAATAAACCCCATAATCTGTGAGTTTCTGTGTGGCCACTGCAGTGAATTATCGAACCCAGGAAAGAGGTGGTGGGTGCTTTGGGAGGAACGGTTGGAGCAAGGGCTGGAGGGAGGCAGCATGTCTGGCCTTGCAGTAATAGGCCTTGGTTTACTGCTGGTAATCCTGCCTTCCCCTCGTAGGGTTAGAGGAGGTCAGAACATGTGGCCTCCTTGACGTTTTAGCACAATTTGATTTCAGAAAGGATCAAAGTCTCCTAAAACCACGGGGTTAAAAGCTGAAAAACAGGATACTCACACAGTATCACTCTTCACATTACTTATTAATTGAATTAAATCCAAAAGGATTATGTCCCTTTATACTGGAGATACCTGGTAGTTACAAATGTAATCCAACTGGTCAAGCCTGGAATCACCAGTATATATGCCTCTTGATCTGACAGCCTGGAATAAACATCTCATTTCTGAGATATTCCTGCAGAACCTAATTACAGGGAAAAACAGATGAACCTAGAATCTGGGGATGTTCTATAGGACTACCAGCCTGGACTCTTCCCAGAGACTCACTGTCATGAAAGTAGAATCAAGCACTGGGGATAGTCTAGATTGGAGGAGATCAGACACACAACAGCCAAATGTCATGTGTAAACCTTGACTGAATCCTAGGTAAGGGCAAACGTATTTACAAGGATATTTGAGATAAATGGGGGAATCTGCATATGGACTATATTTGCATGATGTTACTGAATTAATGGGAGTCCTTGGGTGGTGTAAATGGCTAAGCACTCAGCTGCTAACCAAAAAACTGGAAGTTCAAGCCTGCCCAAAAGCACCTCGGAAAAAAGGCCTGACAATCTACTTCTGAAAAATCAGCCACTGAAAATCCTATGGAGCACCGTTCTATTCTGACACACATGCGGTCACCATGAGTCAGAATCAACACAACAGTAGCTGGTAGTGAATTAATGATTCTCAAATGGGTGATGATGGTGCTATCATTCTTGAGATGTGTGCTGACATATTCAGAAGCAAAACACAATAAATGTCTGCAGCCTACTTTCACATGGTTTGGAAAAAGGGAAGTGTATGTATATACATGTCCACAGAAGAGAGATGGAGTGGATATGGTATCATAACAGAAGGGTGGAGTAGATTTGGCAAGACGTTAACAGAGAGTGAATCTAGGTGAAGAATATAGGGGTATTCATTGCATTGTTTTTATTTTCCCAACTTTCTGCGGGCTCAAAAATATTCTATTTTTTATTTTAATTATTCCATTAATAAATGGCAGTTTTCAGTCTAAGAGACAAATGTGAAATCAAACAAGGAAAAAACATGAAATGTGAAATCTGAACTTTAACTAACAACATAAACTCATAATATTGTTAGAACAAGGGCATTCCTTCCTATCCAGATCCTGATTTCTAAATATTATTCAGAGTTCATTAGAAAAATAGCCAATTCCAGGTTGGGGAAGAGAAGTAGAAGGTAAAACTAGGTCATCCTGTTGTACCAGAACGCAAAGAAGCACTCAAAGAATTATGAACTTGAGACAAAGGACACATAGACCAGCTTGGAGGACTCCCAGAGACCAAGTCTGGAGCAATCTGGGCAACTTAAAAGGAATGAATGAATGAATGGTGAATGAATGAATGACAGTAAGTAAATAAATAAAAGACTGCAAAACATGGAATTAAAATCCATGAGCCCAGAGCAACACTCAAAACTAAATCGATCAATAAATGAATGAAGAAAGGGGAAGAAAGAAAAGAGAAGGAAAGGAAAGGAAGAAATAAACTCATTTGCCAAGTCATTAATCTGAAAATTAGTCAATCAAGGGCATTTATCCTGATTTTATAGGAGACAATGTGGTTTATCCAAGGTTAACGAGGAAAAGCTCTTCTTTAAGAAGAACGTCAGCTAATAAATACAAAAGGAATGACAGAATTAGGAGAATCATCATTTTGTAATTCCAATGAAATAACACACTCAGGCAAGGGTCATCGAGGGATGCCAAAAACATTAGGTAAAAGGTTGTTGGGAAAAACAGGATCTTTGCACATGGTCCACTTATTATCCTACAGTTACTTACTGACTAAAAAGCAGCAAATGCACTTTCACAATGGAGCACTCAGTCAGGGTTACCACCTTAATCAACTGATCAATTTAGGATCACTGACAACAGGAAAACCCGAATTCTATTCTCACATCACTGTATAAAATATTCTTGCCCAAATGTTTAATCTGAATTCAATTAAGCCTTTACACCTAACTTCCAGTTTATATGAAATACAGAAATGAGAGGAACAAGTTAAACAGCACCATGAGAAAACAATCAGACAAATGCAGACTGTGGGGCATTCTACAAGAAACTGGGGGCCTGGTCTCTTCAGTCAGTCAGTCTTAAATTAAAAATATAATTTAAAAAAAAGGGAGAGGAGACTGTTTCAGACGAAGAGAAATGTTAAGTCGTAATTGGCATATGTAATGAAGAGCCTAAGAGCCTAGACTGGACTCAAAAAAAGGGACTGCCAGGGTGGGGGCAGGCTGCAGAATTATGAAATACATTTTAGGGATAATAAAGGAAATCTGAGTATGGCTGAGCATTAGATATTATGGCATTTTAGTTAATTTTCTTGGATGTGATAATTATATTATTATGCGCCAGGCTGCTGTTATTCCGGGTGAGGAGGCATTATGACTGTAACTTTTCAATGTTCTGCCAAAGTGAACATACATACACACACAGAGCAAAAAAGACAAAATATTAGCAACTGTTGAATACAGGTGGTACGTATGTACGTTTGTATGTGAATGTACTATGCTTTGACCTTTTCTACATACTTGAAAATTTTCATTATAAATATTACAAAAAATGAATGAGGTAGAAATTTGGTTACTTCTGATTTTCATAACACCTAGTTCCCCCTAAATATTCAATTTATCTCTATCAAAATACAGTGAAATCTAGAGAATTCAAATACACCTTTCAATTTCTGTATTAGCCAATAGAGCATCAGAGGTGGTATACCCAGTACAACATAAACAAACAGTATGTAATATTTAGATCCACATTACTTTTATCCAGCAGAACTTCAAAAAATGCAACTAAATTCAAATGAAATCTTTACCTAGTACCTAATACAGATAACGTGCTGAACAACAAAAGATAGTAAAAGTATGGTAGTGTTGTGCTTAAGGCACTTGACTGCTAACCAGAGGCTGGCAGTTCAAACCTACCAGCCACTCCTTGGAAGGAAGGTGGGGCAATCTACTTCCATAGTGATACAGCCTCAGAAACCCAAGGAGGGGTTGCTATGAGTCTGGTCCGACTCAATGGCACATAACAACAAATAAAAGTATGAAATTTCAGCTGCCACCTAATTGCTTATCTCAGCCAACAAGGTAAATTCAAGTCAAATGAGTAGGTAGTATTATGCTTGGAAAACGTCACCAGCTCACTATTTGTGTGTGTGTGTGTGTGTGTAAATGCATAAAGGAGCTCTGGTAGCAGAGTGGTTAAAGGATTCAGCTCTTAACCAAAAGGTTGGCAGTTCGAATCCAACAGTGGCAGTTCGAATCCAACAGCTACTCAGTAGGAGAAAGATGAGGCTCTGCTTCCATAATGCTTTATAGCCTTGAAAGCCTCTTGGGCAGTTTTACTCATCATAAAGGGTCACTATAACTTGGAATTGATTTGATGGCAGTGGATTTGGTTTAAGTATATGTGTGTATATTACTCAGTTATAATTATTCATTTAAACCAATTGGTTGAATTTAATTATTAATTTAAAGCTATGGATCTGTTTATATGAAAAAGAAAGTATAATAAATATACTAGTATCTGAAAAGTATAAACACAGAAAAAATAGTTTTAGTGTACTTTTCTCAGATTAAGAAGTGGACCTATTAAATTTACAGGTACTTAACCTGAAAACATAAGAGTACGAATATTAGTTAAAAATACAATTATCACACTGTTTAGAAAGAAGTTTATGGCTTCTAACTTTGCAGACATCCTGCAATCTTAGAGTTACCAGTCAAATCCATAATGTTTTCTAGCTCTCTGAAGAAATGAATGACTAGAAGAAAAAGCAGCCTGTAAGCTTACAGAAACACTAACAATTAGAAATTGGAAACAACAGCAAAAGAGATAGGCGTTATCATAAAGAGGGAAGGCATGAAAATGCTGCAATAAAAGAAGTCAAAGATTGATTTAACATGTAAGGATTGGTCAACAATGCCATAAGATGCAAATTATGATGTCTAGCAAAGGGGCTTACATTCTCCTCTTCTTCCTTTAAATAATGCGCCCAAAATTTTAGCTTGGCATATGGCTGACCCAATAGACCACATTTTCCCATTTCCCTTGTGCAAGATTAGCCATGTGCCTTATTTCAGGCTAATGGAACGTGAGCAAAAGTCATGGTACAAAATGTTCCCCTGCACTTCCTCTCCTTCCGCTTCGACAGTCCAGAACAAAATCTAGATGACCCAAGTTTCAACCACACAGTTGCTCCAGAGACAACACTAGGAAATAGTACAGCAACAAGATGAAAGCAATGTGGGTCCCTGGAATACTCTGTGGAACAGAGCTGACCTACTAGCATGGACACTCTGCTCTAGACCACAACAGGAGAGAAAAATAAACTTCTGTTTTCTTTGAGTCCCTGTATTTTTGCAACCTGGGAGCTCTTGCAGCATAGTGCCTAAGGCATTTGACTGCTAACCAGAAGGCTGGCAGTTCAAACCCACCAGCCACTCCTCGGAAGGAAGATTGGGCAATCTACTTCCAAAGGGATACCGCCTTGGAAACCCAAGGAGGGGTCGCTCTGAGTCAGATCCGACTCGATGGCAGTGAGTTTGGTGTCGGTTTATTTTGCAACCTCGCCTATACTGAGTGTAAGCACTTGGCTAGAACTTTAAAGAAAATATTACTAAGGTGGTATTACAAAGAGCTATGAAGGAGAATGGAGAAGTGGAAACAGCAAGTAAATATTTTGGGTATTTGGCTATAAAAGAAAGTACAAAGAATATGAATAGTACCTCCTAATAAAAGTAGAGTCAAATGCAAGTGTTTGGATTTTTCTTAGTTTTTTTGCAGTTGTTTTAGGTTAAAAAAGAAATATAACATCCTACTTTGATGAGTAGCAACTGGGGTCTTAAAAGCTTGCAAGCAGCCATCTAAAAGGGTTGTCTGAACAAAGAAAAGTAAAGAAAATATAAGACACGTGGAAACGATTAGTCTAAAGGACCGATGGACCACATGAACCCCAGCCTTCACAATCCTGAGACCAGAAGAACTAGATGGTGCCAGACTAAGACTGCTGACTGTTCTAAAAGAGATCACAATAGGAGATGCTGGATAGAGTGGTAGAGAAATATGGAACAAAACCCAAAATCATTAAAAAAAAAAAAAAAAAAAAGGCTTACTGGTCAGAAAGAGACTAGTGAAATCCCGAGACTAAGGCCCTTGGTCACCCTTCAGATACAGAACTGAACTTACTCCCAAAGCTGTATTTTCAGTCAAACAACAATAGACAGGTCTACAAAATGAACAATAACCCTAGGAAGGTAGACACTCCTTAGAGCAGCCAAGCATTCAAGATCAAAAGGGCAGCATCTGCCCAGGGACAAAGTTCAGATGGCAGAAAGGGTTAGGAGAGGAGGAAGAATGGAAATGTGAAACACAGGAAAGAAGTAGAAAGAGTGATGTTACATTGAGATTGTAATTAATGATATGAAATAAAATATGTGTGAACTGTTGAATATAAAACTGATTTGTTCTATAAACTTTCACCCAAATCACGATAAAATGATTATACACACACATACAACACACATATGTACATTCTAAGGTAAATAGGGAAAAGTGAATGGCAAGGATTACAGATACTGTGAGGAGAGAGAGGAGAAAGCCATGAAAGACTGGAGAAGTAAGAACAATTATTCAGTGCCTAGTGCTAAGTACCATACAAGAGACAGAAAAATTATTCATTTGGCTTCTGCCCTCAAGGAGCTCACATTCTACTAAAGGAACAGAACATAAATAATGCAACACAGCATGACAAGTGCTGTAATAAAGCGAATAGTTGCACAAAGGAAAGACTGATTAACTCTGCTTGGATATAAACAGAAATGGAGATTCTTGAGCTAATTAATAAAGCAAGACTAGGAGCTCACACTCTGGTAGTATAGTGCCTAAGGCACTTGACTGCTCACCAGAAGGCTGGTGGTTCAAACCCACCAGCCACTTCTCGGAAGGAAGGTTGGGCAATCCTACTTCCGTAGTGATACTGCCTCAGAAACCCAAGGAGAGGTCGCTATGAGTCGGGGCCGACTCGACGGCAAACAACAACAACAACAACAACAGGAGCTCACAAGATGGGACTACTAGATAAAAAGAACAATGACACAGATGTCAAGAAATGGAAACATAACCAAATTGTCTTGAGAGAAGATGAAGTAGGTTTCTTCTTCAGACCAGAAAGGAAATACATATAATTTGCTCACAACTGCTTACCCAGTATCTAGCATACTGCCTGGCATATGATAAGCATGCAAATTCGTATTTGCTGAATGAACAAACAGATGTTAGCATTTTGGGGTAAAGCTGATGGCATATAAGAATGTTCACACTTACCCCTGATAGTAATATTACTAAAAAGGAAACGGCAAAACTATCTGCTGAGAAGAAATGGGGAGGTGCTATGATCTTTAGGAAATAAAGTTATCTTTGTAATTTCATATTACTATTTTCAGACATGCCCATCTTGTAGTAGTTTAATAACATTACTGATTTAAATACTGAGTTCACTTAAAAACAAGAATATCGTAGTTAACAGGCTTCCAAAAAGAATGGTCAACATTTTTATTAAAACTATCATGAAAAGTAACCTGCCACAGTGAACTTACTTTTCTGAGAGATGCTCTAGTCTTCCTGTGACTCTTTCTGAAAGTGTGGAAAGTCGCCATAACTATACTGCAGTTGTTTACAATCAGTGAAGAGTCTATCTATGAAACATCTGGAAAAAATACATTAAAAGGAAATAATTTATTGATCTTAGTTATTCAGACAAGTATTGCATCCTAAAATAGTTTCTTTAAATCCAGTAATAAAAAAAAATGAGTCCTAAAAATTTACTTAGCAATTCAACATGAATATCTGGAAAGTATATGAATACTAGTAGCTTTATGAGATTCAAGGAGCTCTGGTAGCCTAAGGCATGTGACTGCTAACTAGAAGGCTGGCAGTTCAAACCCACCAGCCATTCCATGGAAGGAAGACTGGGCACTCTTCTTCTGTAAAAATTTACCTCCTCGGAAACCCAAAGGGGGATCACTATGAGTTGGAATATACACAATGGTGGTGAGTTTGGCTTTCTTTTTTTGGTTTACGAGATTCCAGGTTATTGCAAAACTATTAGTTACAGTTTTAGAATAAAGTAGTTTACTTTATTCATTTATTAATCTCACTACGTTTCTTGATTGTATGTCTTCAATAAGAAATACAAGAATACCTCGTTTTATTGTGCTTTGCAGATACCACATTTTTTTTTAAAAAACTGAAGGTTTGTGTCAACCCTACAATGAACAAGTCTATCAGTGCAATTTTTCCAATAGCATGTACTCACTTTCAGTTTCTGTGTCACATTTTATAATTCTCACAATATTTCAAATTTTTTCATATTGCTACTACACATTTAAAAGACTACAGTATAGTGTAAACATAACTTTTATAGGCACTGGAAAACCAAAAAATTTGTGTGATTCACTTTATTGCGATATTCACTTTATTGTGGCAGTCTAGAGCCAAACCCGCTTATCTCCAAGGTATGCCTTATCCAAAAAGCCTTTTAAAATCTGAAAAAGAAAACATTATCAAAAAATCCCTACAGCAACAGATGCTGCTCTAGACATTCTTATTTCTTGGGCAGAAAGATCTGACGATACACAGATGAGAAAATAAAATCTATACAAACCAAATTTAGATCATATGAAGAAAACCAAATTTCTTATAAAGGAAGCTTAAGACTCAGTGACTACAGTTTAAAGAACATCCAATATAAGTAATTGATAATAGTACTTAAAACACACACATCTTAGGAGAAATTCTAAAACTAAGTCTTAACTTTTTAACAATACTTTACTAAAATACCTTGGCAAGCTTAAACCAACCCGAGGCATTAACCACTCAATATTCATACTTGGCCAGAGGAAAACTGCCCATTCATTCAAAATCTACTTCTGCTAGACACTATGCCAGGTGCTATGCATACATTCTAGAAGTAAATGCATAACAAAATAGCAAAGGATGTGGTATGTGGGAAATGAAAATATACTGTTGTATAGTTCCTACATTATACATAAAGTAATGTTATCTGAAGGCTATGAGAAGTTAAAGTCACCTATTAAAAACCCTAAGGAGCCCTGGTGGTGCAGTAGTTAAAGCGCTCAGGTGCTAAAAAAAAGATCAGCAGTTCAAACCTACCATTGCTCCGCAGAAGGATGTGGCAGTCTGCTTCCATAAAGATTACAGCCTTGCGAGCCCTATGGGACAGTTCTACCCTGGCCTATAAGGTCTCTATGAGTCAGAATCAACTCCACAGCAATGGGTTGTTTTTTATTTCTTAATAAACCCCAGGGCAAAAAAATACATAAATAAAACAGAGTAGTATCTAATAAGTAAATGGAGTGAAGGTGATGTTAATCCCTTTTTTTATAGATGAGCAAGCTAAAGCTCACCTTCAGAGGGCTGCTAGAAGAACGCAATTAAATAGTATGTATAAACACAGTGACTGATAAAGTACAAAGAAAAATGTTCTCTCCTTCCTTAGGTACAGACCTGCTGTTTGACTTACAAAAACCAAAAAGGCCACCAGTACTGGTTACTATATTTCTTTGGCTTTCAAAATAACAGAGTAATTGGTCATATAAAAAAGACTTCATTCAATACGATCTAGTTGACTACTTAAGATACTTGCTCCTTTAGCTTCTGCCTTTTTACTTTTTAACCCTGAATCAACCTCATTCTTGTATTCACAACATACATTTTATTCTCACCTCTACAGAGTTTCTCAACCTCATCACTAATGCCATTGTGAGTCAGGTTAAGTCTTTGTTGTGGAGGGTTGTCCTATTTATTGCAGCATACTTAAAGCATCCTTGGCCTCTACAGTAGCATCCAGTCAGTTGTGATAACCAAAAATGTCTTTACACTGCCAAATATCCCTGAGAATTTCAGGGTAAGGGGAAAAACTGCCCCTTGTTGAGAACTACTGCTCTATTTCATCACTTACAATAATACTTCATGTCCCAGCTGTTATTGTTGCTAGCTGCCACTGACTCACTGCTACCTCAAACACAATGAGATCGAACTACTGTGATCCATAGGGTTTTCACTGGCTAATTTTTTCAAAGTAGATCAACAGGCTTTTCTTCCTAGTCTGTCTTAGTTTGGAAGCTCCATTAAAACCTGATCAGCATCATAGAAACAAGCCTCCATAGACAAATGGGTGGTGGCTGCACATGAAGTGCACTGGCTAAAAAATGAAACTGGGTTGACTGAATTAGACTATACGTAGTAACAACATTCAACTCACACACTTATCAAGTGTCTGGGAAAAGCCCCTGAGTTTCTGGGGCTTACATTCTAGGGGACCATGTCTGCATCCCCAAAGGGCCTCATACATAATAAACAATCATATATCTACCAAATTGAACAAGACAGAAGGAAGGAGAAATTTCATCAAGGATGTGAATTTCAGAGGGGCATTAGGTGGCAAGATTGACATCGTTAAACAAAAAAATGTCTAATGACTTTTTGAGAAATTAATCCAGGGATATGTGTTCTGCCACCTTTATTTTCTTAAGCATTCATAGATAAAAGTTATTGGTCTTTCTATAGAATTCCATGTTAGCATTCACATCTTCTAATGTATTTTTGAACCTTGACAGATATTGGTATTCAAAGTAATTACATGGGCTTAACTGACAAAGCATTAAGTGTGAACTGCTGATGACTCCAGAAGTCCCTGCACAACAACAAACTTTTAAAAAAATAATAAATAAAATCTTGCCGCCGTGCTTCAATGTGAATATGCTGTATGCTAGATGTTAAAATAATGTTCTTAATCTTATATATCTAACCTCAGCCTACAGAATTAACTGCTAACAAAAAAAAACATGTTCAGAATTTTAACTCTGTAACACATTTCTCTTTATCAGTGACATCTGGGACTCCATGATTCTAAGAGTGTATTTTCTCTTATTTAAGAGAAACATTCCCTTATACACATTTAAGCAGCAGTTCTTCCAAATAGTACTAAGGCACTCCCTGAAAGTAAGGCCCCAGGAACGAATGAATGGATCAAAGGAGTGCTTTGCAAATGACACAGCGCTTGGCACACAGCAGGCATTCTTTTGGGCTGCAGAGAACCTACTGACAAGATATAAAAGGCCTGACAGAGAAGAGTGCTGTTGTTCTTATGTGCAGTTGACTCAGAACGACTCACAGTGACCCCTCCCCTTGGGTTTCCGAGGCAGTATCACTACGAAAGTAGCTTGACCAACCTTCCTTCCCAGGAGTGGCTGGTGGGTTTGAACTGCCAGCCTTCTGGTTAGCAGTCAAATGCCCTAGGCACTACGCTACCAGAGCTCCCTCAAAGAAGAGTAGGAAAGGCAATTTTAAGATTTCAAACCTGGTGAGCTGAAGAAAGGCAGAACTCCTACCAATTTTAAGGTAACTGGAAGATAACGTTTTATGTCAATATGATATCCAAAATGCAATTAAAAATTATAAAATTAGTTGGGGTGGTCAGAGCCAGATATGTTAATCTAGGAATCATCTCTGTATACAGATCTTCAAAGCTGATCCTAGACACTGAGAAAGAATAGAAAATCAAGTGAGAATCAAAGAGAAACTGCAAATGATAAAGGGGTCCCAGGGGGACCACATAAACAAGGGACCACTAAAAAATGACAGTCTAACAGGTAAACAGAGCTTGAAAAGAACCAGCGGAGAAGTGTGAAGAAAGTTTTAGGTATGGAGTAGTCAGCATTGGACATCTTTACTCCTCAAGGGCAAAAATGGTATTTTCATCCCTAGATACCTGAGAAGGCCACAGTACCTGACATACAGAATGCACTCAATAAATAGTAATACCACATCCTTAAATTGTGCCTGCTGCCCACCAGGCACTATTTTAAGTGCTTTACACGTAAGAATTCATAACTCTCCTAAAAGTAGGTGCTGCTCTTACACCGATTTTACATAAAAGGAAACTGAGACACAAATAAAAAAGATTAAACTTTGGATCTGGCTTGATCATTACAAGCTCAGAACAAGTTCACTGTGAAATTACAACTGCAGAATGTTAAAGTACACCAGAGGTGCCCTCATTTCCTCTCTGTCCACACTCCTTTTCTTAGAGACCTAATTGTACCCAGTCTGGGAAGTGCAGACACAAACTAAAGTTTCTCCCGTGATTTTTCCCAGTCCTATCTTCCCTTATACCTAGTCAGCTGGGCTAGAGATAGACCTGACCAAAGTCCAATCAATCAGATTCCCTCTCCAGGAATCTGGATTGAGATAGAGATATTTTGTACGGAACCATACTGCAAAATCACAGTCAGTCTGGATTGGGCAGCAAGGCAAACCAAAGTTTCATGCAAACCAAAGTTACCGGAAAGCAGAAACCAAGAGCCTTTAAAGGGAAGGCCAGTCCGCAAAGAAACTGGGACAGATACGTAGGCAGTAACGGAGACACAGACCATGTTCCCAGAGAAAAACTGAAAGAACATCTGCCTGATGATTTTCTGTTTCCCAGGACGCTGAGCTGGACCTCATGCAATAGAATTCAACGGCAGTCCAACAATCATACATTAAATGTTTTTACAGAAGCTAATTCAAGCAAGTTGTTGTTCCTTGCAGCCAAGTCATCCTCAAGCCATTGAGACATCAGAGAAAAAACACT